GAAATAAGACACGAAAACATTTGTTTAAAATGTGTTTAATATTTTCCGAAACGTGTTACAAAGCATGTTCAATGTAGCGTCCAGCATTTTCCGAAAGCAAGTTAAATTATGTTACTGCATTCTCAACAGCAGCTCTTAGCATATCAGGTTTGGTTTTGGTTTGGTTTATTAGATTACGGCAAAGCACTCGAGGGCTATCTGCCTTAAGGGAGGGATGCCTTCGTGGAGGACTTTTTAAGGGAAACTGGCTCGTATACACGCTACACATAGCATATCAGGAGGAATGTTATCAGTGTATCACATTTTTCATTTCTGCCAAATTGTTTAGATTATCACTATAACAGTGCTTTTGAGATAACCTCATAGACAAAAGTCACAGAGATTGAGGTCTGGTGGGAAGAGGGGAAGTGTTGGCCTATAAGACGTTCATTCGTGAAATGTTGCCTAAGTAACTATACGACACTCTTGAGGTGGTGCCCAGCCCTGCATAAAAATCGTAGTATCTAAAATGTCACGTTACTGCAGTTCATGTATCACGAAACATTTTAATATTGGCTCTAAGTGAGCTGCAATCGCAGTGGTCCAGCTGTCGACTGCTCTTCAGAAAAAAATGGTTCAGTTATAAAACTAGCTGTCATTCAACAGTAAACGGTGTGAAATGACTGTTCTGCAATCGAATGCAGTAGGAGAATGCAATGGAACTAGATAGATAACATGAGAATTTCTTTGGCCCAAATCGATTAAAAACGTTTTGAATCAGTATCTTCATGTTTTAGTGCCGAATTCAGGCTTAAAAAATTACAAATTAGCGATCTGTAAGAAAACGATTTCCAGATTGTACGCACTTGTGAGAGTGATTTGCGATCTCACATTTTCTAATCGCTAATTCGTGGTTTTCACGGACGAAATTCTCACTTACAGGGATGGCGCACTCGACATTTATCGAATTTAACGTCTTTAAATGGTAATTTGCCTACTTCAAAGTTTCTTAAGGGTATACAACATATTAAACCCGTTTAACAAAAGGTTAAGTTAGATTCCGACCCATATATCGTTTAACAATATTGCATACAGCGCCATTTCCCCCCTGGTGGTGAGGTTTCGAACTTCCTTTTTTTCGCCGAAAATAAATTCCCATGACCTCCTTTACACGATTTCCAAGTTTGATAACATTTGATCCAGTAGTTTTCCTTTTATGACCGTTTCAATGTGGAACTTTAATTATAACAACTCTGTATATTATTAAATTTTAATTTGAAGCTATGCGTTATATGTATACCATGCGTAAAATTTTCGCTTCTATGGAAAAATAAACAATCGAAGCAAATATACTTAGTATAATGGACCAAAACTGAAAACATTTCCCCTCCCCCCGAAAATAAAATATTGAAATTTCGAACTTGAATTTACTGGGTTATTGAAATATTTAATTTGACTTATCTTCTAAGTCCTAGTTCCGACAACAATTCCGTCAAAAATTCCGAATTACTTAAGTTGAAGTAAAAGATTTAGTATATACTCACTATATGCTAATAAAGTAATCAGAGTGTAATAAAAATAGATTATAGAATTTACGCTGATGTAACTTTTTGTCTGACTGCACAACATGTAATGGAAGAGAAGGTTTGTAGAGATCTGTTTTTGACATGCCTCTAAAAGTAGATGTCATATTAATTTTGTCTCTTCAATGTCAAACACTTTCCTTTGAGAGGCAACTTTAGTTTTTGAGAAAGAAAAAAAATCACAAGAAGACAAATTTGAAGAACATGCAGGACGATTGAATATACATACTTATTTTCCGGAACACAAGCGGTTCTCCGACTGGTTATTGAATAATGAAAAGATGCATTGTCATGCAATACAAAACATTTGGAATACGTTTTCTGGCTGAATAACGTAAGATTAAAAGTCATCTGCTTAATTCACATCCATTTACAAGTCAACTACTCGGGCAATTGCAGAATCGTTTTGATCCTGAGCTTGTAAGACAAACCTAATATCACTGGACTTTAAACACTTCTTTAATCTTCCGAGAACGTTCCTTCTTTAGCTCATATTCCAAGAATATTAAGTGAATACAATTATTGCCAAAGAAATTGTAATATTCATTTGCACTACGGCTTGGTAGTTTACTAACGAGTTAACAAAACTTAAATTCTGCTTTTTGTGTCAAAGAATACAACAATATTTTAAGTATTTACAAATAAAAATATTTAAATTGGAGCCTCATCAGTTGCCTAGCATTTGAAAAAGAAAAGATTGTTAAATACTAATTGTTTGCTGCTCAGTCTAACCCAGGCTGCATGGTTGGTTTTCGTAGTTTTTTAGGTTCTCTTTACAAAGATTCTCTATGAAAGCATCTTAATCAAATAGCTCTCATGTTCTTTCTATGTTCAAATAACCAACTAACCTAGTTTAAGCGCGATTTCCAAGTGAAGTTACTGGTAAAATCCGAATACTCATTAAAAATCATGTAGCTAGCCAATCGGGAGTAACATGAAAGATACGGAACCAATAATTGAAATGTTGTTACGGTACGCTGTTTCTTAACTTAGATGGTCATTCCTTAATTAAATAGCCCACCAACGGCCGAGCGGTAAAGACGCTGAACACTGGTAGTTCAGTTCGAGTTTCGAATCCCGCGAACGGGCTGGCCGCATGGGCGATTTCGTGGTTTTCCCCATGTGTAACGTGTATACGAGCCAGTTTCCCTTACAAAGTCCTCCACCAAGGCATCCCTCCCTTTGGGCAGATAGCCCTCGTGTGCTTTGCCATAATTAAATAATCCAATTCAATCCTTAATTAAATATAATTGATTTGTAAATTCTACTAGAACTGACCGTAAGAATTGAAGTGGAAATAAGTAATATGGTGTGCAATCTTGATTAATATAAAATTAAAAATATTTGCATAGAAAAATGTTTGCATTCAGACAGAAAGTTTTTTGAAATATTTGCAATTACTTTATAAGAAGGATTTATTAATAACCGTAATAATTACTTATTATATTACTGATGATTAGGATTCAGTTCTTGACAATTACATTCTAAATTAGAATTTTAAGGATATAATGAAAATACGCTACGCACAAAAATACATTTTAGGAAAAAAAAAAATGAGTTGATTTTTTATGTTTTAAAACTTCTTAAATTCATTTAGTAAACATCGTATCCTCGTTGTTTATTGAATCCAGAATGTTGGTGTCGTTTATATAATTATTCTTACTTGTCCACAGAATCTGCTGACTTATCCAGCCATTAAGTAGCTGCAGATCATTTCTACATAACCATTGAACTTCCATTAATTCAGTCGCTAGAGGGTTGTATGTTTATATCATAATTTGACTTTTATAAAAAATGATTATTCTAAATATTATGTTTCTATAAAAATATATCGTGCTTTAAAAATATGGATAATAGTATCAGCCGCTCTTTCAGCCACTTCAAAAGCAACAGTTTGTTTAGAAATAAATTATGCAGTTAATGTCATAAAATTCAAATAAATATCAAACGAAAATTCTCAGTTTTAGACAATTCGATTTAAACGAAGTAAAGTAGCAGACGATAAAACGCCGAAGGTAAAAATTTACCCTTACAAAAACTTACTCTTAAATTTTTTAAAAAAAAGAAAAGATACGAGAGAAATTTAAAAAAAAATAGTTAAAAATTTGAATAATATCATCTATAATTTAAAAAAATAGCCTTTCTTATAGTATTGATAAATATTTATTACGCGTCATTGAGGGAAAAAATGTCATATAATTAATTCTCCGTAAAATTTTACTTGAAGTTTAAGGTTAAAAATAGCTGTGGCAATTCAGTGTAACAAAAATCCATAGACCACATTTGGCGTTATTATCGCTCAAAAAAAAGGTGCCAAATTTCAAAACGCGAAATTATGTAAATTCGTGTATATCTTAGAAAAATTTGAATAAAAAAGTCTAATTTTTTGCAGATATGCTTAAAAATACACCTACTTTAAGATGATGGTAAAAATTTTATAGGTTATAATTCAAAATTTTTTTCGAAAAATCTATAAAAATTATTTAAAAATAGAAATCTAAAAAATAAAACACAAAAAATGGGTAAATTTTATTTGGAATGAACCTAAATTTCGAAATGTGAGAGAAAAATAAAAAAAATTTAGTAAAAAAAGAGATATTAATAAATATTTGCCAAATTCAATTAACATTGAGGAGCTAAAATTTTGAGAGCTAATATTTCAAAAACTACTCGTACGATTTTTACAAAACTTGGTATTCTGGCATAATTTGAGCCTTAGAATCGAAATATGTAAAAAAATTGGTATGTTATTTCAGAAAAAGTCCGATTTTGTGTCAAAATACCTATGTTAGAATAGTGCTATATATAAATCTAATATATATCCTAAGTCGCGCTTTCGAGACATGAAAAACGCAGTTTGAATTTTGTCAATCGGCCCAGTAGAACGGGAGATATAGCACTGTCCCATTTTTTTTTTTTTGAGCAGTGTACCAATTGAATTTCTACCAATGTACCTTCTGTACCAATTGAATTTGCAAGAAAACCAAGGGGACTAAAAGTATTGAAACACTGGAAAGCTACAGAATACCGTCAATTTTTACTGTACATTAGCCCACTTATTTTTTAAAAAAACTTTTAAACAAAAAGCTATATGATCATTTTTTACTACCTTATATTTCAAATAGACTCTTATGCGAAATACAGAATCAGACGACAATTCATGAACCCGCACAGTGTTACGCCGTCTATTGCCCACCGAAAGAGGGCGCTCCTGCTATTCATAAAAAGCTAAAAATAATTTATTTCTACTTTTAAAATGAATGGAGTTTTCTGTGACTGTGTTTCAGAGATGTGGCAACACGCGATTATTTTTACTTTAATTATGTTCTAAAGATATAAATGAGTTGTGTTTCCAGTTTGTACGTTGGAGCAGAAGTAAAATATTTATTATACTTATTTTTATTATGTTTATGATACTTATTATGTTTTGATTTCCAGCCCATTCCACAAAGAGGTGAACATAGCATTTTTGGTGTCAGAAGTGGGGTAAAGTGAAAATGAGGTAATAATGTGTATCATTCAAATTTTGGGAGAAAAAATACTGTGCTCATATGGGAATATGTTTTGTGCGGAAATCGACAATAAATATGATGGTTCCCTTGTGTAGATTATGGTGAGTAGTTATTTCAGTTTGTTTTAATAATGTTTAGTGTTAAATTCTGTTTATTAGTGTTGTGTATTGAGGTGTTCCTACTTGATAATTTGAGTTGATAGTGTCTGTGCTGAGTTTGATGTATTCGTTTTGTGCTTATTGTTTTCTAATTGTCCATTCAGGGTTGTTGTAATTTTCTTTGAATTAAGATGAATCTGAAGTCGCTTAAGTCATTAAAAAAAGACGAGTTGACCCTCGCGGCGGAAGAATTAGGGTTCGTAATTCAGAGCGGGGCGAAAATTGTTACTTTGGAGAAAACCTTAATATAAAGTTTAGAAGTTTATGAAAATGATGCTGAATTTGTGCAAAATGTTATTGATAATATTATAGAAGAAAAAAATTAGATTAGAGTTAGAGAAAATAAAACTTCCTCAGTTAAAGGCGGAATTATCTTTAGCGAACACTAGAAAAGACTTGCTACAAAATCCAAATGTTGAGACGGACAACTCAAATCGAAATATAGAAAATTTAATTAAAAGTGTAATAACATTAACAATTTCTGTACCTGCTAAAGCAGAATCCTTTAATCTCTTTTTCCAGTCAATCGAAAGGGCTTTTAGGACAAAACAAGTACCTGAAGACTTAACCCTTTCCGGCACGCTACCTTTTAAAGTCGGAGTTTTGATAAAAAAAAACAAAAAGGTGGGCAGTCTAATTAGGCCTAGAGGAGTACACAAGTAAAATTTTGTGAAGATAGCACTTATCGTTTTAATTCTGCGGGTGTGCCTAAAGTGACACACTGATTGAATAGAGCTTCGAAAAGAGTGCTGAAACGAGATTGTTGTCAATGAACTGACCGATGAGATGTGTAGAAACAAAGAATACAGACTCTCAGTTGTCCTAGATTATCCTTGAGCCTGGTCTGGGCACACCTAGGTTTTCGCTGTTTGATTTTAAGCACGATTTCAAGGTAAAAATTTAAAACTAATATAGAATAAGGAGATTAGCATACAGCCAAAAAAATAACATAAAAATTTCTTTTCAAACAATTCCTTTTATACCCTAAGAAAATCTGGAAGATTTGTTTGAAAAATGAGGGTCTTAAAAAACTAAACATGGCTAAAATATATGGACTGGTTTGTGTTGAGCTGCCATCTACTATAAATAAAGAAGGTTCAGAGTAACCTATAAATCCTTTTTAATTCAAATTTTCAATCAGAAGGAAATTTTTACGTGTGTCCAAACCGGACACACTGTGCCGCAAAGGGTTAAAAGCAGAAATCCTATTAAATATTTTGGGAGAGAAGGTCACTAATTTAATGGTATATGTGAAGGGAAGAAGATATTAATAATTACCATAAAGTCCATAATTTTAAAGGAATTTCGGCCAAACCCTCATGAGTGTTTAAATCATTTTCGTTCTACGCAAAAATTGTCATCTGAGAATTTTGTCAAGGTTAAGTGCAAATTTTGAATATTATTGTCAGTTGAGAAATGTAAACGATTTTAAATCGTTATGTGATCTTATGGTTTCGGATAAAATATTCAGTGAGCTTGATCGTGAATTAAAGCCCCATATAGCAGTTAAACAGGGAGAGATATGGTTCGAACCCCAAACTTTAGGTCGTGAATGCGATATTTATTTATCATTAAAAGGGAAACAGAAACCAGAATCCCTTTTTACAAAATCATTTACAGGTAACGGTAATAAAAGAGGCAACGGAAATAATGTTAATAAACTTCGTAATTATAATTACAAAAATATTTCTAATGTATATGTATCTGGAGCAAAAGATCAAACATGTATTTTGCGTAAAACAAATCCAAACCACTCCATACAAAATTGTCCGAATTTTAAAAGGCTTTCAGTAAATGAGCGTGTTGAAATAATTAAACAAAATAATCTTTCCCTCAAACGCTTTTCTTCTGAGTGTTATGCAAAAAACTGTAAAGTAAGAAATTGTTTCTGTGGGAAAGCTCATCATTCGATGATTCATTTCTATAAGCAAATTAAAGCTATACTAGAGAACGGTGGCGCTGAACAAACTCAATGCAATGCTTTTCAATGTCAAGGTAAATACAAAAATCATCTGTGCTATTACTAACTTGCAGTGTATACGTTAGCTCTATTGATAAAACAAAATTCAATAAAATGACGCGCATATTATGCGATAATGGCTCCGAAAGAAGCTGGTGTACGAAGTCCCTTGCCAATTGCTTAAAATTAAAAGCAGTCAGAAAACAAAATCTGTCAGTTTTCTCCTTTGGCTCAGCAAAGCATACTGAGAAATCACATGAAGTAGTAGAATTAAAATTATCTAGCAGATACAACCCTAATCAGTGTATTTCAGTGTAATCAGTGTAAAATTTCTGAACGAGATAGAGAATTCTTAAAATTTCTTTGGTATTCAGATAACCCTAGTGAAGAATATAAAACTATGATAATGAAAAGACTAACCTTTGGATGTAAAAGCTAATCTTTCGTTTTGAGTGCTACGATAAAGCATCATATAAAAAAAATGTGAGAAAAGTAAACCGAAGTCATTGGAATGTTAAATTCATCACTTTACGTAGGCCATTTATATTATGGTGGAGACAGTGTGAGAAAATCATTTGAGTTGTCGTCGGATGCTGTATCAATATTAAAGAGTGGTGGATTTAATTTGAGGAAATTGTGGTCCAACAGTAGAGAATTAGAAAAATTGTGAAGAGAAAGTGGACTTAGTGACAGTAAGATAGTGGTAGTACAACAGGGGAAAGTCCTAGGGTTGAATTGGAATCCTAATAGAGATGAGTTGTCGTTGGAGTTGAAGGTTTTGGTGGATTCGTGAAAAACGTTGCGACGCACTAAAAGATGTGTTTTACAGACAGCTGCAAGAATCTTTGGTCCTATTGGTTTGATTGCGCCAATTGTGATACGTATAAAGTTACTGTAACAGGAAATTTGGGAAAGAACGTGCGATTGGGACGAAGAGTTGCCGGATGACTTGCAGCAAAAGTGGATAGCGTGGTGTAATGAAATTGAAAAATTAATAGACGTTACTATTCCGAGGTATTGTTTTTTTCGGATTGGGAGAATGAGCAATCGGAAGTACATGTATCAGGTTCAATGTTTCTTCTAACCTTCTTCGGAAACATACAATGACCTGACTAGAACAGAGAGCTTACTAAAGCTATGTTCACTAATTGTAGTAAGTAGACAGGATACAGACGAAGGGTATACAAAACCCTTTATTTTTTCTTTATATCCAATGACTTCCGTACTTCGGAATACAATGACCCTCCACTCGGGGTCTAACTTAAAAGATATCAAAATAAAACTAAACTCTAATTTAACTTTAGAATAAGATTGGCCTTATAATAACAGGAAGCGTATGTAGCACAGAGACTGTGAACACTACAATACGTTTAATTTATCAAGAGGATTAAAACCTCTGGCCTGGAAGGCAAAGTAGCAACTGCGTAACTTCTAAGGTAAGCGGCCTGATCGAACTCACGGCTTCCTCTCTTCTGCTTGGCAAAAAGGCCACACTTAAATACTTGGCGTTCGCCAGACAACTTTGCATAAACTCCTTCACGCTTATAATTCTGGCCGGAAGTAGAAAATAAGAAGTGATAGTAAAGATTTAAAATAAAATAAACGTTAGTAAAACTTAAGATCCTTACACATGTGTTTTGCGATGCGTCACCAAGTGCTTACGGAACTGTTGTTTATTTTAAATATTGTGAGAATAATGGAAATTACAGAGTACCCTTTATAATATCGAAGAGTAGAGTGTTACTGTTAAAGAGACTAACGGCTGCTGCAGTTGGAACTAATGGCCATGGTAATAGGCGCTAGAGTGGGAACTTACCTTAAAAGTGTTTTTAAGGATAAAATTGGAAGACTAGTGTTTTGGAGTGATTTTTGTATTGCTTTGCATTGCGTGAAGGGAATTGCGAAGAGATGGAAAAATTCGTTGCAAACCGGGTTGTGGAAATTCAGGAGAGATCGAGTTCAAGGTGGTTGGTATTATTATCCGTCTGACGATAATCCCGCAGATTTGCTTACTAGAGGAATCTCAGGCTGAGAAGTTGGTACTTAATAAAAAATGGTGGTCAAGTCCAATTTGGCTTCGGAAAAGTTTTGAGAGTTGGCCTAATTAGTGAGTTAGAGGATTACCAAATGTAAACAGCGCGGAAATACAAAGAGAGCAAAGAAAAAGTTCTGTCAAATGTTTGTAGTTCAGTTGGAATTAGCTGAGCTGCTTCGGAACAAATCTTGAGTTTGGAGCAAGTTGCAGAGAGTTGTTATAAGAAATGTGAGGGGGAATAGAATTTTGACTGCCTTCTTAGAAACAAGTGAACTGAAAGAAGTGCATGATACTATAACTCCGAGTTTTCTAGATGGCTGACTTACCTTCTACCTATCCAAAGAGGGAAGCTCGCACGATCTCTGAACACTCCAATCTCAGTTCTGAACAACAACAAAAAAAAACTGAGAGCTGATGCTCTTTCCGATCTTATGCAATTTCCCCAGGGTGTATGAGTAATTCAGCTATTCTGCTTTTTCCTCTTCATTGGGTAGACAACTCAGAGTGAAGCCTGGCCTTCTCCAGAAGCTTGGAATTTCCCATGTAAAGCTTGGTTGTTTGTTTTACCCTTCGGCCATAATTTTTGGCAAATTGCCTTTCCAGTAAGTTTCGAAGCCGTTGAATTATAAAACATCACTGCAGCCAGCTTCCTGTTTGAACAGCAAATTTCATATGGAGAAATTCTGTAAGAAGAAAAATACATTTATTAAAAATATAATGCAGCCATACTGATATCAAAACTGCAGAAAGCAGTGACATCACCAATTAAATATTGAATGCCTTGATATTTTGCTGAATCTTACAGAATGGTTTGGGTACCCTATCATCAGCTTTACTTGCACACCTGAATTTTGTATTAAAGTAGCGCACAACAATTAGCACAAGTTTTATATTATTTTATATTATCTGTTGATGCATCCATACTTTCAGACGCGAAGTTTGACTTCTTTAAGCTCTGCTTGAGCTAAAAGGCTTAATGACATTTAAAACTATTGCCTTAGTTTTTCCGAGTAATAATTTAGGTTAAAAAAACTACGAAATTAGTTTTGATGAACAAGAATTCGAATTGAGTATTATGCTATGGTCTGCTATGTGGTAAGCAAAGGTCGCTTCTTTCTCTGCTAAGTCTACGTTTTTTGTCATTAGAACTTGCAGTCTTAAGAAAACACTTGTCAGTTTTGATGAGCTAGCGGCATATGCTTAACTCTTTTTTGTGTTTACTTGACTGCAAATGATCTTTTATATTGGATCGACCACCGTGAGCAACCGAACACTCAGAACTATAATGTGAACATTTAGCTCTATCATCTTCATCTTGATTACCAGTACCAGTTCATTAACTTCTTTGAAAAAGGAAATTAATTCTGTAAATCCTCGGCGAATTTAAATTAAAATTTTTAATAACTTCAAACATAAATAAAACAATGCTAGCTCACTAAAACAACAGGCACCGCTGACAGGGACTGACTGACCTTCTCTCTATCAAAAATTTGAATTGGGAATCGCCTCATTCTTTGTCTCTATCGCAAGCGGTTACTGCCGAGACGGGCGAGTCCAATGTTATCGCACACTAAGGATGCAATAACATTGGACTCGCCCGTCTCGGCAGTAACCTCTTGCAGCGAAATCTCTTCTGGCGCTAAAGCTACAATGGACTCGCCCAATATTGGACTCTCCCAAAATTGGACTTGCCCGGAGAGCCTCTCGCATTGCGCACGATCACAATTGGCGAAACAAGACAAATCACTCTTCTATAGTTTTCACTGCAGAAGTGGGCCCACCAACGGCCGAGCGGTAAAGTCGCTGAACACTGGTAGTTTGGTCCGAGGTTCGAATCCCGCGAATGGGCTGGCTGCATGGTTGTTTTTTTGGTTTACTTTCCAGTAAAAATATTTGGTATTTTGGTTGCATTATGTTTCAGTTTATATTTCTAGTTCAGCTGATGACGGGATAATGGGGGCCCAGTGTGTTACGCCATCCATTGCTCGCCGAAAGAGCGCGCTCCTGCTATTCATAAAAACCTAAAAATAATGTATTTCTACTTTTAAATGAATGAAGTTTCCTGTGATTGTGTTTCAGAGATGTGGCAAACCGCGATTATTTTTATTGTAATTGAGTTGTGTTTCCAGTTTTTATTTTTTGGAGCAAAAATAAAATATTTATGATATTTATTGTGTAGAGTTTTGATTTCCAGCCCATTCCACAAAGAGGTGAACATAACACACAGTCTCTATTAAATATCTTCGTACTAAATTTTGTGCTTTATTATGGAACACAGTACATTTCTCATAACGTTCACGGCCTACTGCATATTTGCGAAGATATAAAAATGTTTGGGCTGTTAGTAATCGCAGTGCATTTAAATTTGAAAGCTATATGTCTTCTATAAAAAAATTGCTTAGAAAATCTTCCGCTCCATTACAGAAATTAGCAAAACGAACTCATGAACTGTTTAATCATATTGTAGCCATCAATAATGATTCAATCAACGTAACCGACTTAAGTTCAGAATTTCAAAATTTACACACATCTGGTCCACTACTTATAGGTTATTAAATGCTTAATTTTATTATTGAATTTTGAATACAAATTAACTGAAGTCAGAACTGAATTTGTAGAATAATTTAATTATGAATTTATTAAAGAATTCAGTTTTGGGCAGTTGAAAGGTTAAAAATGATTGAAAGATTTTTAATATTTTAAAGCAAAATTTTCTCTTATAACATTTTGTATTAATAATTCATTTCAAGTCCCTTGCTCAGTTTTAGATATGTATACAAATTATTAAATTATTTGAAATTCAAATTAGAAAAATAAATTCTATAAATATTCATAAAATTTCTTATTTTTCCATAGTAACCACAGATAGAGGACCTGTGATTATCTGTGGAAAATAAGTAGGTTTTAGGTTATTGAAACAACTTCACACACTTTCAATGGATTATAAAGAAGATTCCTGAGGATATACTAGGATGTAACATTAAGCAGTTGAGAATATGTATTTAAGAGGTTAAAGGGATATTGTAACTAGTATTTCAAATTTTGATAACATCCCATGCGCTGTCGGTGGGACCTAGATAGGATGTCCTAAGGATATACTGGGATGTGACATTAAGCACTCGGGAGGATGAGTTTAGGAGGAAACTGGGATATTACGGGATGTCCTGAGGATGTAGTAAGTAGGAGTTCAGATCCTAATAACATCCCGTACGTTGTCGATGGGATTTTGTTAGGATATACTGGATGTGACAATAAGCACGCGGGAGGATGTGTTTAGGAGGTTCGGGGGATATTCCGGGATGGCCTGAGGATGTGCGCATATCCCTCAAGAAACATCCTCAGTATATTCCAAGGATGTTTTTGTGCACCTTCATGCAATCTAAAAAATGGTCAGTTGTCAAATTACAGTAATTCAGGAAAGCATAAGGTATTTAATTGCTCGTTCAAATTTAATGAATTTGAAACTCAATAAAAATATATCATTTTAATGTAATGAAGTATGAATGTAAGTCATTTCAATGTTAAATAAACAAAGTCACACAAGGTTAAATAACTCATATGACACCTTTAATGAATTTTAGTGATTTTTATCGGAAAATCATTTTGAAGGATAAGTAACGGATTTTCAAGTTAATTTATTAGCCAAATTTTCTCAACACTGAGGCAGCTGTCCGCATGTTCAAGAACTTTCAAAAGTCATTTGAAGGTCGAATCCATCAACTTGAAGGTTATTCAAGGTTAGGTAGCTCAAACGAAACGAGTGAACGAAACTTACGTTCAATTGTTTTTAAGCGAATAGCCTTTCAAGGTTGAATAACGGATTTTCAAGGTCACTGCCCATCACATTTTGAGAAAATTTATCGTTTCGGTGCTTTGAAAGTCATTTGAAGGTCAAATCGGTCTATTTGAAGGTCATTCAAGGTTAGATTGCTCGAACGAATCTCAGCTGAACGAAATTTGCGCTGAATTGTTTTAAGAGAATAGCCCTTCAAGGTTGAATAACGGATTTTCAAGGTCACTGCCCATCACATTTTGAGAAAATTTATCGTTTCAGTGCTTTGAAAGTCATTTGAAGGTCAAATCGGTCTACTTGAAGGTCATTCAAGGTTAAGTAGCTCGAATGAAACTCAGTTGAACGAAATTTGCGCTTAATTGTTTTAAGAGAATAGCCCTTCAAGGTTGAATAACGGATTTTCAAGGTCACTGCCCATCAAATTTGAGAAAAATTTATCGTTTCGAAGTGCTTTGAAAGTCATTTGAAGGTCAAATCAGTCTATTTGAAGGTCATTCAAGGTTAGATTGCTCGAACGAAACTCAAATGAACGAAATTTGCGCTGAATTGTTTTAAGAGAATAGGCTTTCAAGGTTGAATAACGGATTTTCAAGGTCACTGAGCACGTTTCGGTACTTTTAAAAGTCATTTCAAGGTTAAATATATCGAATATAGGATCATTCAAGGTCAGATAGGTGAAATAACACTTTAATAAAATTTAAGCTTAGTGGTTCCTAGTATGTTTGTAGGTTCAAGAGCTTTTGAAAGTCATTTGAAGGTCAAATCGGTCAAATTGAAGGTCATTCAAGGTTAAGGACGATTTAAAAGTTGTTTAAGCGATTGGCAAAATGGTGAGAAGTACAAAAAATCGTTTTCATGTTCAAACAAGGTAAATCTATGGGAGGGATCTACATTAAACGAAAAATTCGGAGGTTTTGCTAATCGCTGCATGAAAATGTCCTCAAAAGTACTTTTCAAATTTATTGCAAGTGAAAGAATATTATTTTTCTTTTATACTTTATTTTTACTTTTTATCCTTTTACCCTTTTATTCCTTTTCCTATGTTGGAAACATGAATTTTTAACTTTTTCAGTAACTTGTAACATTTTCGCTAACTTGTAACATTGTTTCACAGAACCGTGGGTAGCAGGTGTTCCAAATGCAAAAATTGAAATTCGAAAGTATTTTAATAGACTGTTTAATCTATGTGTGATCATCTGAAATAATTAATTACGTTTTGGATTGACTTTACACAGAAACAATGAAAGCTTTGTAAAATTTATTTTCACAAAAGAAATATTTTACAGATCTAGAGCTTTCTACAAGTACTTATATAGCTCTTTTTAGTATAGCACAGCTCAATCAGTAGTTACCATCTCAAACTACTAATATCAAAAACACAACACAATGGAAAACAAATCCAAAGAGGGAAGCTCGCACGATCTCTGAACACTCCAATCTCAGTTCTGAACAACAACAAAAAAAAATACTGAGAGCTGATGCTCTTTCCCATCTTATGCATTTTCCCCAGGGTGTATGAGTAATTCAGCTATTCTGCTTTTTCCTCTTCATTGGGTAGACAACTCAGAGTGAAGCCTGGCCTTCTCCAGAAGCTTGGAATTTCCCATGTAAAGCTTGGTTGTTTGTTTTACCCTTCGGCCATAATTTTTGGCAAATTGCCTTTCCAGTAAGTTTCGAAGCCGTTGAATTATAAAACATCACTGCAGCCAGCTTCCTGTTTGAACAGCAAATTTCATATGGAGAAATTCTGTAAGAAGAAAAATACATTTATTAAAAATATAATGCAGCCATACTGATATCAAAACTGCAGAAAGCAGTGACATCACCAATTAAATATTGAATGCCTTCGCATTTTGCTGAATCTTACAGAATGGTTTGGGTACCCTATCATCAGCTTTACTTGCACACCTGAATTTGTATTAAAGTAGCGCACAACAATTAGCACAAGTTTTATATTATTTCTGTTTGATGCATCCATACTTTCAGACGCGAAGTTTGACTTCTTTAAGCTCTGCTTGAGCTAAAAGGCTTAATGACATTTAAAACTATTGCCTTAGTTTTTCCGAGTAATAATTTAGGTTAAAAAAACTACGAAATTAGTTTTGATGAACAAGAATTCGAATTGAGTATTATGCTATGGTCTGCTATGTGGTAAGCAAAGGTCGCTTCTTTCTCTAAGTCTACGTTTTTTGTCATTAGAACTTGCAGTCTTAAGAAAACACTTGTCAGTTTTGATGAGCTAGCGCCATATGCTTAACTCTTTTTTGTGTTTACTCGACTGCAAATGATCTTTTATATTGGATCGACCACCGTGAGCAACCGAACACTCAGAACTATAATGTGAACATTTAACTCTATCGTCTTCATCTTGATTACCAGTACCAGTACATTAACTTCTTCGAAAAAGGAAATTAATTCTTTAAATCCCGGCGAATTTAAATTATAATTTTTAATAACTTCAAACATAAATAAAATAATGCTAGCTCACTAAAACAACAGGCACCGCTGACAGGGACTGACTGACCTTCTCTCTATCAAAAATTTGAATTTGGGAATCGCCTCATTCTTTGTCTCTATCGCAAGCGGTTACTGCCGAAACGGGCGAGTCCAATGTTATCGCACAAGGGTGCAATAACATTGGACTCGCCGTCTCGGCAGTAACCGCTTGCAGCGAAATCTCTTCTGGCGCTAAAGCTACAATGTGACTTTGGACTCGCCCAATATTGGACTCTCCCAAAATTGGACTCGCCCGGAGAGCCTCTCGCATTGCGCACGATCACGATTGGCGAAACAAGACAAATCACTCTTCTATAATTTTCACTGCAGAAGTGGTCCCACCAAGGGCCGAGCGGCAAAGTCGCTGAACACTGGTAGTTTGGTCCGAGGTTCGAATCCCGCGAACGGGCTGGCTGCATGGTTGTTTTTTGGTTTACTTTCTAGTAAAAATATTTGGTACTCTTCTGGTATCGGGATCCGATTTAAAGTGTACTTACACATACACATGTATACACATACCATATGCGTACATCAACACATACATCTATACATACATTTCTGAATTTGGTACTGATAAAAGAAAAGTACCAAATATTTATATTAGCATTTCTCTGAATTTTTATATTATATAATCATGACAAGAAATTCTTCAAAGATAGAAAGTGGAGAGAAAAACAATGATTCGTACAAAGAAGAGATATAAATGAAGCTGCAGGGATAATACATCATATTAACTGATTGCCGAGTTTACCGCAGGGGACTGCGTCCAAAGCAAAATTTATAAGTTCTGCGTACACATAAAAGAGAAAATATAAAAACATTTCAATATGAATGAAAGCCTACACCTGAAAAAGAAATTTTTAATATAAATTAGATGAGTTTTATACGCCGCAAGACCGGTATAGTGTTTAGCGTCGCTGACTGCGGTGATGAAGGGACCGGGTTCGAATCTCAGAGAAGGCATGGCTATTTATAAATGTATCGTTTCTGTGCGGCATAGCGGCACTCCAAATATGCGGCCAGCCGAAAACACGAGTTAGTGGAGCTTCCTCTTGTGGTTTGATGGAAGGAGAGAGGGGTGGAAGACCCTCGTATCCGCTCCCTTCTGGGGTGCTCTTCATGAAAAGTGGGGACGGAACTGAACTAAATCCTACTGCCAGCTGTAAAGTTCTCAAGGCTGTTGCCAACGACAAGCGTATCATGCGCTCCTTGCCACGAGGAATTTCGTGGGCTTGGGCTGGTGCTACTATCAGGCAAGTGAGCATAAGTAATAAAATCAACAACAACAAAAGTGTCTAAGCGAAGAACACGTACATTATATATGGTTGACGGCTTAAAGAAACTTTCCGGTATTAGGTTGCATTTAATGAAGGGAATTTTTACTGCTTTAATTGGTTTTTGTCTCGTAAGTGATTTGTTTCATTAGTAAATTATGTGGAACTTGAATCACTGAGAAAATACATCTATGAAAACTGATGAATATTTGAGCTTAAGAAAGCCAACTTCATTCTTTTAAGTTCTAGAACCAAATTAACTTCCTTATTTTAGAATATTTACAAATTGCTTATTAATTTAATCTGTAATCAAAGTTTAAAAAGCAATTGTAAAGTGTTTTCGCTTAATAGATTTAACTTAGAAGCAACAGAACGCTAGTAAGATAAGCAGTATTGAATGTCAATAATGTTTTGTTATTATTTACGTGTTCTGCCCTAAAAGTCACTTCACGGAAGGGAGGGATGTCTTCATGGAGGACTTTCTAAGGGTAACTGGCTCTTTCACATGGAGAAAACCACGAAAACGACCATAGAGCCAGCCCATTCGCGGAATTCGAACCTCGGACCAAACTACCAGAGTTCACGGATTTTAACTCTCGGCCGCTAGTGGGGTCTGTCAATAATGCTTTTTATGGTGAATAACTTTTGTGATGTTTAAAAAACTCGATTTAGTCGAAAACCATAAATTAAAAACGTTGCTCTAAATTATAAAATGCTGCTTTGTTAAAAATAGTTAACCCGTTTGAAAAAATATTAACAGACAGAAGTGCGCATTTATAAATAAAATATAAAATTTTCAATTAATAAAATGTAAAAAATTAAAAACGCTAATAAATAAATAAAGAAGCATGATGGAAAGTTTTAAAAGAATTGTCTAAATTTATATATATATATATAATTTTTTTTTTACTTTCTAGTAAAAAAATATTTGGTACTCTTCTGGTATCGGGATCCGATTCAGAAATGTGCGTATGTATGTATGTGTACGTACGCACATATATGTTTGTATTGTAGAGACATTAGGATATTTTGGAAGCCAAAGAGATGAAAAATTAGCAACCGCCTTCGCCGGGAATCGAACCACGGACCTCTGAAATACCGGCTCAGTGTGCAGAACCACTACACCACGAAGGACGCTATGAAAGTGGGAGAAATACCTTATATACTCCCCTTTTTAAAGGGCGACTAGGGTTTTAGCGGACCTAGTCGCCAAATCCTGGGTGTGGAGAATCATCATCCACAACCCTTTTAGTTAGGGCGCCACTGTAGAGACATTAGGATATTTTGGAAGCCAAAGAGATGAAGAATTAGCAACCGCCTTCGCCGGGAATCGAACCACGGACCTCTGAAATACCGGCTCAGTGTGCAGAACCACTACACCACGAAGGACGCTAGGAAAGTGGGAGAAATACCTTATAGTGTATGCATATATGTGCGTACGTACACATACTCATGTATACACTTAGACCATATGCATACATGAACACATACATACACCATATGCATATAAGAGCACATACATCCATACATACATTTCTGAATTTGGTGCTGATAAAAGAAGAGTACCAAATATTTATATTAGCATTTCTCTGAATTTTTATAACATATAATCATGACACTTTGAAAGAAAGTGGAGAGAAAAACAATGATACGTACAGAGAGACATGTAAATGAAGCTGCAGGGATAATACTTCATATTTTCTGATTGCCGAGTTTACAGCAGCGGACTGCATCCAAAGCAAAATTTATAAGTTCTGTGTACACCTAAAAAGAGAAAATATAAAAAACATTTCAATATGAATGAAAGGTGAATGAAAGCCTACAGCTGAAAAAGAAATTTTTAATATGAATTAGATAAGTTTTATACGCCTCAAGACTGGTATAGTGGTTAGCGTCGCTGACTGCGGAGACGGAGGGACCGAGTTCGAATCTCAGAGAAGGCATGGATTGTTTGTAAATGTATCGTTTCGATGCGGCATGGCGGCACTTCAAATATGCGGCCAGACGAAAACTCTCGTGTGTACACGAGTTCGTGGAGTTGGTGGAACGGGAGAGGGATGGAAGACCCTAGGATCCGCTCCCCTCTGGGATCCTAGGGTCCTCTCCGTCCCCAATTTTGATGAATTGGAGACGGAACTGAGCTAAATCCAACGGTCAGCTGTAAAGTTCTCAAGGCTGTTGCCAACGACAAGCGTATCCTTGCGCTCCTTGCCACAAGGAATTTCGTGGGCTTGGGCTGGTGCTACTATCAGACAAGTGAGCATAAGTAATAAAATCAACAACAACAAAAGTGTCTAAGCGAAGAACACGTACATTATATATGGTGACGGCTTAAAGAAACTTTACGGTATTAGGTTGCATTTAATGAAGGGAATTTTTACTGCTTTAATTGGTTTTTTGTCTCGTAAGTGATTTGTTTCATTAGTAAATTATGTGCAACTTGAATCAGTGAGAAAGTACATCTATGAAAACTGATGAATGTTTGAGCTTAAGAAAGCCAACTTCAATGTGAGATTGATATTTGCATGAATCTTCGTGTAGTTTTTAACATAATTGACGAATTTTCAACTAAGTTTCATTTAATTTTGATTGAATCATTTGCATAATTTCATAAAATGCAAATTCGGCAAAACCTTTTAAACAAGAATTTACCGGATTTTTAATTTTTGCGAGAAGTTTTACATTCTAGAACCAAATTAAATACTTGCCAATATTAGCACCCAACAGCGGTCGAGCGGTAAAGTCCCTGAAAACTGGATTCCGTTCTGGGTTCAAATCCAGGCGAAAGAGCTGGCTGCCTGGGCGTTTTCCCTATTTCTAACGTGTATACGAGCCAATTTCCCTTGTAAAGCTCGAAGGCATCCTTCCACTCAGGCAGATAGCCCTTGTTGTTATGTGTTAATTGTTTTTATTTTCAGACTTTAAGTTAATTGCTTACTTAGTTCAGTTTTGATGAGTAATTGAAGCTATTAATTTTTGCTTTAGTTTGTTTAATTTTGATTGTAGGTTTAAACTGTAATTTTTATAAACTTTAAATTTAGGTTTGGTTGCTTTAAAAGTGTTCTTAATTTGAAGTTGTTTAATTTTAATTTGAGTTTAGGGACTTAAGTTTTACTTGGTTTTTGTACTTGTTTGTTGTAAACAACCCCTAAGGTTGTTTAACTTTAATTATTTTAAAGTTTTGTTGCTGCACTTTTAGTGTGCTAATTTTTTATTAGGTAACTTAATTTTTTTTTACCCCTCTTTCTATTAAAGTTTCTCAAATTCATATTTTCTGACTAGTGGTAATGGTCAATCAATTGTGAATGAAACTCAATCTTGAAAATGAATACGTATACTTATTTCTTCTGAAGAAACAACTTATAATGCGTGTATTTCGGTAACTGAACTTAATTGTTAATTAAGAGTTTAATTTGTGCTTTATTAAATTCGTTTATTGTGTTGAAAACAATTCACTGGTTCTGCAATTTTCCCATCCAATGTTGTCGGCTTGGAATTCGTTCTCAGAATTCCTTATCTGGGGATTGCCGCGCCTCGAATTCCTTTTGCAAAGCTTTTACCATATGTGCTAATTTCTTTACAATCTGTGCTGTTTTGCATATTCGAAACCCTGTTTGCTCTGGCATCTCTAGCATAGAAATGTTCTGTTGGGAGATTGTTTACGTGGGGGTGAAGATTCGTCAGTTAGGTTGCTCGCTATACTAGAGAAAGACCCCGATGCGAGGCTAGTGCTTTTCCCTTTTCCTTCAGCAGAGTGGTATTTGACCTCACGCCGTGGCCTTGGGGGTTGTGCTGTTGAACCGCGTTGTTTGCCAAATTCTGGTAGATTAGGAAATCGTTCTCCTGAAGATATATCTGTTTCTTCTCTTTGGAGCTAGCCGTACTTGGCGTTTTCCCCCCATAACCTTACTTCGCCAATGGTAAAAAATCTCGCCAGTGTACAAAAAGTGCTGCGTTGTTGGGATGGCAGAGGGAGAGCGACAAAAAAGAAGCTATGCAGCGTAGAACCTACTCAGAAGTCGGAAAAAATTACTTCCTGAGATGGAAAAGATGGCGTGGCTGAGCAGTAAGAGAAGAGAGCGGAATCAGCAGCTCATGAGTCTGCCTGAAGGGTGTGTGTGTGTGTGTGATTATGGCAAAGCCTCGAGGGTTATCTGCCTAAGGGGAGGGATGCCTTCGTGGAGGCCTTTCTAAGGGAACTGGCTCGTATACACGTTACACATGGGGAAAACCACGAAAACGCCCATGCAGCCAGCCCGTTCGCGGGATTCGAACCTCGGACCGAACTACCAGTGTTCAGCGACTTTACCGCTCGGCCGCTGGTGGGCCTGCCTGAAGGAAACTGCAGAATGGAGGAGTTCCTAACCGCCACCCCTGTGGCCAATGTTTAAATATGTTTCTCTTATTTTTTTTCTTTTATCATTACAGATCCAGCAACCTGTATATGCAGAATTTGATTGTTAACAACACCTGTGTACTATCGGAGGGGGCCTCTCTAATATTTTTGAATGTTAATTAATATACAATTATTTCCCTCTTTATTTTGTCGTGTCAGCTAACAATGTTAAATTTGATGACCGCCACCACCCAAAGTAAAAAAAAAAAAAAAAAAAAAAAAAAAAAATAGAAATGTAACTGTAAACCTTTGATGTCACTAAATAAACGTAAGATTGATTTTACTTACTTTTTGTATTGTTTTTAATTTTAATTACTTTTTGACACTGGACCATATACTCTGATTTACTGTATTTTTGCCATTCTGATAATTACACGAATAGTTATTGAATGTGATTTACACTTTATAGATGTCGTATTGCACTAAATACTCTTGAGAACTGTTAAGATGTGGAGCATGTTTACACATTAACCATTTTCAATAATGACATACTTACACTCGGTGCTATGAATATTATATTCTAAGTATTGTTGATTAGTGCACATAATGTCAGATGTTATACCATTCAATTCATAATATAACCACATAGTGTTCCTTGCCATAATAAATAAAACCAAAAAGCAGATAAACATTAATTTAAAATATTACAGAATCTAATTCTTTCAGTAGCTATTTTAAGAATTAACTTCCTTATTTTAGAATATTTACAAATTGCTAATTAATTTAATCTGTAATCAAAGTTTAAATACAATTTAAAAGTGTTTTCGCTTAATAGATTTACCTAAGGAGCAACACAACGCTGGTAAGATAAGCAGTATGGAATGTCAATAATGCTTTTTTATTATTTACGTGTTCTGCCCTAAAAGGCACTACACGGAAGGGAGGGATGCCTTCATGGAGAACTTTCTAAGGGAAACTGGCTCGTATTAACCCCTTTCACATGGAGAAAACCACGAAAACGACCATACAGCCAGCTCATTCGCGGAATTCGAACCTCGGACCGAACTACCAGAGTTCACGGACTTTAAATCTCGGCCGATAGTGGGGTCTGTCAATAATGCTTTTTATGGTGAATAACTTTCGTGATGTTTAAACAACTGGATTTAGTCAAAAACCATAAATTAAAAATTTTCCTCTAAATTATAAAATGCTTTGTTAAAAATAATTAACCCATTTGAAAAAAATATCATCATTCAAAAGTTCGCATATATAAATAAAATAAAAAAGATTTAATGTAATCAAATATTAATTAAAAACACTAAAAACGCTAATAAATAAAATAAAGAAACATGATGGAAAGTTTAAAAGAATTGTCTAAATATATATATATATATATATATATTTTTTTTCTTTCTAGTAAAAAAATATTTGGTACTCTTCTGGTATCGGGATACGATTCAGAAATGTGCGTATGTATGTGTACGTACGCACATATATGTTTGTATATGCATGTATGTGCGTACCTACACATACACATGTATACACTTAGACCATATGCATACATGAACACATACATAGACCATATGCATACAAGAACACATACATCCATACATACATTTCTGAATTTGGTGCTTATAAAAGAAGAGTACCAAATATTTATATTAGCATTTCTTTGAATTTTTATAACATATATTCATGACACTTTGAAGGAAAGTGGAGAGAAAAACAATGATACGTACAGAGAAGACATGTAAATGAAGCTGCAGGGATAATACTTCATATTAACTGATTGCCGAGTTTACAGCAGCGGACTGCATAGCAAAATTTATAAGTTCTGCGTACACCTAAAAAGAGAAAATATAAAAAACATTTCAATATGAATGAAAGGTGAATGAAAGCCTACAGCTGAAAAAGAAATTTTTAATATGAATTAGATAAGTTTTATACGCCTCAAAACCGGTATAGTGGTTAGCGTCGCTGACTGCGGAGACGAAGGGACCGGTTTCGAATCTCAGAGAAGGCAGGGATGTTTGTAAATGTATCGTTTCGGGGCCGGCATGGCGGCACTCCAAATATGCGGTCAGACGAAAACTCTCGTGTGTACATGAGTTCGTGAAGCTTCCCTTTGTGGTTTGGTGGAGGGGGAGAGGGGGGAAACCCTTGGATCCGCTCCCCTCTGGGGTGCTGTCCATCTAAATTGGGGTCGGAAGTGAGCTAAATTGCAATGTCTCTTGTAAGGTGCTCGAGGCTGCTTGCCAACCATAATGTTGCGATCGTTGTCACCAGGAATTTCGTGGATTTGGGTTGATGTTACTGTAAGAGAAGTGAGCATAAGTAACAACAGCAAGTGTTATTTATATTCTCAAACTACTTCAGCTTCATTTTGAGTTGACTCGTGTCAGTTTATACGTAACTTCTCACAAGCGGCGGAACAGTAAAATCACTCAACACGGGTAGTTCGGTTCGAGGTTGGAATCCTGCGTACGGGCAGGCCGCATTGGCGTTTCCGTGATTTCTCTCATGTGTAACGTGTATACCAGCCAGTTTGCTTTAAAATGTTTTTCCACGAAGCCAGGCAGATAGCACTTGAGGCTTTGCCGTAGTCACATAAACAAACAGTTTTATCCTTACAATAGGGTCGGCCCACCAGCGGCCGAGCGGTAAAGTCGCTGAACACTGGTAGTTCGGTCCGAGGTTCGAATCCCGCGAACGGGCTGGCTTCATGGGTGTTTTCGTGGTTTTCCCCATGTGTAACGTGTATACGAGCCAGTTTCCCTTAGAAAGTCCTCCACGAAAGGCATCCCTCCCCTTAGGCAGATAGCCCTAGTGTGCTTTGCCATAATTAAATACACCACCACACCACCACTATCCTTACAATAGGAGATTTAATTGTTTCTTATACTTATATCTGCACTTTTAATAATTCAAAATTTTATTTAGCATTTTATGCCTCTTTGCCAATTTAGAAAGCTGACCCTCCTTCCACGGATCAAATAGCTTTTGTGCTTTCGATATATGTTTAATGTTTTATTTTATAACTTTTTAAATACTTATTGATTCGTGATATCTGTTTCTCTTACTGTTGCTTGAAAAATTACATTTATATTTTACATTTTAATGTTTCCTAGAACAACTATCGTTTTCAAGGTTAAGGACGCTCCAGTGTTACATTGTTTTATTGAGTGATACATCAGGTGATGGAGGAATACACGTGACGCGTGATTCCATATTTTTTTTTCTCTAGCTCTATTTAGAGAAGAGAGACGGCAATTTTTTTGGTCCCAACAACGAGCTGTAGCCGTTTACTGGCATTGGCCACTACTAAGACTAGAAGCAGCTGTCTCTTTATTGTGGGGATACGTTACATGTGGGCCATCGTTGCCTCCTACAACTTACATCCATGTCTTCTCCTGGATTTGAACCCAAGCCCTTCTGTGCAGCAGTCAGAATTTCTAACCTCTTTCCTGTCTGGGCGGCCGGATGGCAGTTTTAATTCCACCTCGTACGCACTTCGACGCACCGAACAGCGAAAAAAAAACATCTTGCAGGAGTGCGAAAATTATCGTTTTTTAGCGTTAAATTTTTTAATAGAGTTTTTAATTACTATCTCGGATTATGAAAACTACGAAAATAAGAATGGTCAAAATAGCTTCCGAAGAATTTTTGGAATCGGGAGGGAGTTGTAGGGTTCCCTCTTGAAACTCAGCTACCCGCCGTTTCGAAGGAAATGAAGTTACAAATAAATAAACAGACGCGCAAAGATTTTAACAGTCTAGATTAGCAACCAAGAGGCCACTCCATGTTCATATAATTTTGCTTGGTTACGTAGCGCGTAACTGGTTTAATTAAAGCTCTTTCATGAAATTACTTATATGTTATAATAATCAAAATATTTTGAACTGATGAGAAAAAATGTACAATCACTTTTCCATAAAATGTCTATCTGCCGCCCAACCAGTAGAGTGGTTAGCGTCTCTGACTGCCGTGACTAAGGGACCGGGTTCGAATCCCGGAGAAGGCATGTATGTTTGTAAATGTTCAGTTTAGTTTACGAGTGTGTTGCAACTCTCCTGGCCAAAAATAATAGGCCTTATGGTTAACGTAGGTGACCGTATCCATAGCAATTTCAGCATCGCTTTAGACGTAGATATACAATTTTACTTATTATTAACAGCGATTGGCAATTGGATTTCCATCCAAAAGGAAACCCTGACAGACACCAGAGATTTGAAATACCTCTCTTTCACTTGTCGGAATCCTAAACAATGGCCTAGTACAGTCTCCAACACATTCACATTCTATTTTTAATGATTTGATCATCCTCCACAGTATCAGAAACATTATAAATTATAACCTTCGGGTTAATAAATGTTTTCCTACGAGGTCTCACAATATTCGCTAGTTTCTCATTTTTCAACAATTGCTCTTTCAAGTATTTTACAATCTTCTCAATTGGCTAACAGCACCATCACATCTCCATTTTTTCTACTATAAGAATTAATTATTCTTATGCCTAAATTTGGTGGATTAATATTTCGTTTAATTTCCGTAAATACATCTATATCATTCTTAAGTGATTTTATTACAATTTCATTATACTCAGATCCTTTAGGTTTCAACACCTTATCTTCCTTCTCAACACTTGGTATCTATTACAAGTGTATTTCCACTCACTTTCTCCTCATTTCCTTTTCTTTCCTTAACTTTCATATCTCTTTGATATATTCTTTTATTTCAGCGATGTCTTGTATTAAGTTTTCCAATTTATCCTCTGTTTTCTTCATTTTTTCCATTTCAACATACATTAAATTAAGACAAGTCATCCAGTTGGCAATATAAACTAATACTTGGTTCAGTGTTTAAGTGCCTTTGAAATTCTTTACTCTCTCATATCCTCAACAACTTTATTTAATCTATCGATTACTAAAAATACATCTTCGTCATCTTCCAGGATCTCATTATGCATAGGAATGGATTCTCTTAATGTAAGCACTGAAAACTAGGATAAAATGCGAGTTTAGAACATATTCGCAAATAAATAAAATACTCTATAAAATTCCAAAATGTCTAATAATCCATTTTCATATCAGAATCACAATATAAAACTTTTAAAATAATTTTCCATAAAAAACCAAATTTTTTCTCACTAAAATTGAATAAATTGACCAATGGGCAGAAAGGTTTAGTATATGATGCACCAAAAGGGTTTTGAAGTTTCGCCCTCACCGGACAGAAAGACTTAATAAATGGTGGACCAACTTTTCAAATGTCAACTGACAGCATCCATTAGGCCCAGCTCAGTATTCAAACATTTAAAAGTTCGTAATTTCAAAACAATTCAAAATAATCAAACAAACAGTACATATTCTGAAACCGGAACATAAGATCTTTTAAATAAAACTGGTTTCAGCACAAAAAAGTCAATATTTACCAGAATATCAATCAATTAAATGAGGCTACCAAACTCGTCGCCACGTCAGCTCAGTATTCGAAATTTTTAAAGTTCATAAATTTAAAAGTATTCAAAATAATCAAAAGAGCAATACATTTTCTGAAACCGGAACATATAGTCTTTCAAATGAAATTGGCTTTAACACGATCTTGTTTGTAAATGTATAGTGTCGGTGCGGCGAAAAGTCCTATCGTGGGGTTTTGTGGAAGGAATAGGGGTAGGAAATCCTCGGATCCTACCTTCCGGGGTGCTCTTCATCAAAATTGGCGGCGGAACTGAGCTAAATCCGGTATGGTGTTCAAGCCTTTTGCCAACGACAGGCGTATCTTGCGCTGCTTGCCACGAAGAATCTCGTGGGCTTGATTTGATGTTACTGTCAGGCAAATGAACATAAGTAACAACAACAACATCTAAATAGTTCATAAAAACTGTTCCAATGGAACAGGAGAACGTACTATTTTAGGTAACTAGCCTTTGTGTGCTTTGTCATCAACAAATTAGCGAAACCAACTTTAAAGGGCCGTTCCCACTAGGATTTATCTAAGCTAACTGACGTAGCCGATCCATCTCCAAAACCAGTTTTCGACACATGGATCTGACTCCGTTAGCTCAGATAAACCCCAGTGTGAACGGGCTTTTAAAGTTACGCTGCATATAATTTCTCTTATTAAAAAATGAAGGTTATCTTTAGCATGTACACAGTGGAGTGGCGACCATAACTGGTGCCCAGGGCAAAGTACCTTTTTGGCGCACCCCCTCAAAGAACACTTACAGTAATATGATGTATAGAATACATTAGTAATAATAAAATAATGCAAATAATAATAAAATGCTGAATCTGGCATAAAATACTCTAAATTATATTAAGGATAATTACAACCTAACTACACTAGCATCGAATTCCAGAAATGTATCTGTGTCGGCGGAATAATCAGACATACGATGATCTAGAATTAGTTAAAAAGGTATTATTTATTTTACAAAGTTTTATAATTGTTTTTAAAAAAGCACAATTCTTAAACAGTTAAAAGTTTAATGTACATTATAGATAAGTAGATATATTTATTAATAATAATGTACTATTATAATACATAAATACAATTAATTACTATGTATACATTTTTCTTGCCTTGTTTGAAGCAAATTTATCAATTATTTCATCAAAGTGGATCATTTCAAATTTTTCTCATTCCACATTTAAAAATGCTAGATGACTTAGGGGATCTTGTCTCATCGTTGATTGTAAATATGTCAAAGTTTATTTTAATTTGCTGAATGAACGTTCATATTTGATAGGGAAATAACTCATGCCCATAAATTAAGGATAATTCGGAGTCACGCGGAAATCGAACTCTAAAATAAATATATCACCTGTAAAATCACTACACACAT